GAGTATAAAGTTCAGTAGAGAATCCTTAACAAAGTATATACATTTATGCAAGATTTTTCCAATATTAGATGCAAATGCCATTTTAAAGGGAATTTCTTTTACATGCTCTTTTGAAAATCACCATGTTTCAACAATAATTTGAAATCTCAACAATTCCGAAACTTCCAATTTTTATTCAATAGGGGCGGTAAATACGACTCAGGTAATTCCTAGGTTGGTGTCTGTAAGTAGGCTCAACTAGCACTACCAAGAACCCCACTTTACCGGTTGCTAACCGGAAGGGAAGTTCTACCTTCTCCGCGCGTGTTTTCGGTCTTTCACCCCGGACACTCATGCCAACTTATCAATTTCATCTACACTTCCTAACCGGACTTACCAACGTATTTACCCCATAACATTTCCATGATTACATTCACAATATTACATTCTTAATGAAAGTTCCAATTCTCAATCCAATGTTCATGACATGCAAGGTTTTAGAAATGCCAATGCAACAATTATCCATACTACTTCAAGTTTCTCCACTTTGATCATAGCTACAACAAATGTTCTATACCTTTCAATGCCATTCCAACAAATAGCCAAAAATTTACCATTATTTTTCCATATGTAACCATATAACCACAATTCGTGCACTTCCAACATTTTAATCATTTCAAAGCCATAGCAATATATAGACATCAACTTCCAATCTCAACAATTTTTATATGTTAAGAAGTTCTCCATTAATATATATATATATATATGTATAAAAACAAATATTTCCCATTTTCTTTACTTAACAAGGCACACAACAATATATATATACATAAACATATGTATATATATATATAATATCAAACATGAGCTCCCATCCTTTTTCATTTAAGAGACCCCCACATTTCTAGGTTTTCACAAAATCCTAACATTTCCTCATCCCTTTTCAAAACCTCACTATATACCTCAATCTCAACCCATATGGCTCAACGTTTCAAGAAAAATCTTTAAAAAGGAACAAGGATAAATTTCTTTTACAACACTAACAATTTCTTGAGCCATAAACCCATTTTCGAAATAGACCAAGATGTGCTCTCAAAGTCAATCAAGACTTGCAAAAAAATATATATAACTCTAAGTAATTCCTTACTTCAAGCTTGATGAAGAGATTGATGAAACCCTAGGATCAAATGGTGTAGAAATCCGATCTCCTCCGTACAAAGTGAAGCTCTTGCCTTGCTCCTCAACTTTGATGAGGAACTTGGGGTAGAAAAGCAATAGATCCAAAGGGATCAAGAACTCTAAGTGTTTTGGGTGTATGGAATGTAGAGAAAGGGGAGAGGAGATGATTTTTAGTGAGAGAGTGATACAAGCAAAACGATACACATAGCCCAAAAAGTAAAGAAAAACAGAGCTCCTTGGACTCAGGCTCGACCTCACGTGCAGCACTTGCCCCCGCACGTGCGGAGCGTGTCTCCCGCACGTGCGGCTTCGATCCCTGCACGTGCGGCTCCTTCCGCACCTCCCCCTCCGCACTTGCAATTTAGGCAGTGTGCAACCCTCTAAAACTCACTATTCCCCGTACGTGCGGCCCTGGCTCAGTAGTCCAGAATTTTCTGGTTCGCTCCCAGGCACTCCGAACTCGGTTGTGCACCCCCGAAACAAGTGACGTTCCACCTAGAGTTAGACAAGAACCGGAGTTTGAAAGAAAGTTTTCGAACACCATAACTCAAAGGGGACAAAAATGAAGCGATACGCAATGAAACCAGTCATCACAATTTAATCACAATTTTAGCGATTTTATCAAAATATATTGGTTAGATTTGTTTGATTCAAAATAAACTAAAGATTAATCTGATTAAAGACTGAACGACTAAGATTACAACTGGGGAGTTCTAATAGGGATTTCACCACTTGGGAAAAGGCCTCGATGCTATATAAGGGTCTAGGTTTTTACTTTTATAGCCCAGGAACTCCCCCTCCATTCCCGATGTGGGACACCGGGGCCTTACATAACTTTTGTTTTATAATCCCACATCGGGAAAAGAAAGAAAAAATGAGTTGTTTCACATATATAAAGTGATACTTATGCTTCCATTTAATGTTGTAGTATTGTGTATATTTCAATTCAAGACTCTTTAAATTTTAAAATTAAAATAACATTTAAAAGTTTTAATTAATTAATTTTTGTATAAGTTGGTTGGTCTTTTGACTTAACCAATTAGGCTAAATTATTTTCAGTTTGACTGATTCGCCGATTTAACTGCAATTTCTCACATTGATTTTCTTAATTTTAAACAATTAAAAAATCTCCATTGACAAGTTTCCATTTAACCGTATAAAAATAAAACTCTAATTAGTTCATGATTTATTTCACAATCCCACATCAGGAGAAGAAAGAAAAAATAAGTTGTTTCGCTTATATAAAAGTGGATCTTATATTCTCATTTAATATTATAGTTGTGCATAGTTTAGTTCAAGACAGTTTAAATTTTGAAATAAAAATTCTGACTAGTCTACGATTTATTTTATAATTTCACATAGAAAAAAGAAAGAAAAAGTAAGTTGTGTTACTTTTATAAAGTGAATCTTATATTCTAATTTAATATTGTAGTGTTATTCATGTTTTAGTTCAAGACAGTTTAAATTTTAAAATAAAATTTAAAAGTTTTAGTTAATTAATTTTTGTGTAAGTTGGTTGGTCTTTTGACCCAGCCGATTAAATTGAATCATTTTTTGTTTGACTGATTGGTTTAATCATAATTTTAGCAATTTTATCAAATATATATTGGTTAAATTTATTTGATTCGAAATAAACCAAAGACTGATCTGATTAAAAGTTAAACGACTAAGATTGCTTGATTAGAAATAAATTTTCTGCCCAAACAATTGTTAACTTTTATTTTATAATCTCACATCGGAAAATGAAGAAAAAAGTGAGTTGTTCCACTTATATAGTGAACCTTATGCTTCCGTTCAATTTAAGACTGTTTAAATTTTAAAATTAAAATAATATTTAAAAGTTTTAATTAATTAATTTTTGTATAAGTTGATTGGTCTTTTGACTTAGTTGATTAGGTTAAACCATTTTCGGTTTGGCTAATTCACGGGTTTAAACGCAATCTTAGCAATTTTATTAAAATATATTAATTAGATTTGTTTGATTTGAAAAAAATTAAAGATTGACCAAATGATTGATATTATTTCATTTGAAATCAACTTCCTGCCTGAACAATTGTTAATTTTTATTTTACACAATCTTATGTTGGGAAAACAAGAAAAAAAAATAAATTGTTTCACTTATATAAAGTAAATCTAGGCATCCTTTTAATTTTGTAGTGTTGTGTATATTTCAGTTGAAGACAGTTTAAATTTTAAAATAAAATAAAATTTAGAAGTTTAAAATAATTAATTTTTGTTTAAGTTGGTTGATCTTTTGTCCGATTTTAATGATTTTATCAAAAAATATATATTGTTTTATTTCTAAAAGGTATGTTTACGTTTTATGACAATTTTTAACATAAAATAAACTAAAACTAAAACTAAAAAATTTATAAAATGAAATTTATTTTTATTTTATAATAAATATAAATTTTTAAATTTATTATATATATATATATATTTCATCTTTACCAATTAAATTATGACATCTATTTTTTATTGTGAACTTAAAATATTCAATTAATGACATAACAACCGCAATATATATTATAATAAAATGCTTAAAATTTAATTCATTCTAAATTATATGTCTATACTTTTTAAATAAATTTTATGTTATTATTTAATATTAAAATTATTTTTAATTATTTTGTAGCCTGTGCGTCGCACAGGTTCATATGCTAGTTATGTATAGTGCTATGTAGAATACCGTTTAATCCGTTAAAATTGCACCGATCTGCATCAATCTGCACTGCTCTATTCACTAATTGCGGTTTAAATTTTAAAATTTATAATTCGCATTCGAAGCCGTTCCGCTGCCGCTATAGTTGATACATTTATATTTATTAACTTGTAATGAAATATCAAAGTAAAAATTAGTGTGTGATATATTTAAGTTGTAAAATTTATTACAAATTAATAGTTATATATATGAAAAATATTGTACAAATAAACATTATCTATTATGCAAAGACTTAATAAATAGTTAAAATATTATTGAATCTGTTAATTCGCTCAAAATTACTCAAATCATAATTTACCAATCTATTAATTTACTAATTTATCATTTAATTTATAATTTTATTTTCAACTCACCTTAAACGTACGAAAAATATTAAAAATTATAAAAAAATAATATAAAATATATCATAAAATTTTTTCATTAGAGGGTGATATTTTAGGATTGTTTTAAGAAATTGGTAAAAAGTTAGTTTTTGACTTTTTACTAAATTTTTTGATTTTTTTGAAAGTGATTTGAGAAGTTGGTAAAAAATTGACTTTTTTACTTTTTGGTTTAATATATTTTAAAAGTGTTACATCACTCTAAAATGACCAAAATATCCTTACTTTTTTGCATCTCAATAATTTTTTAAATTAATTAATTATAATGTTCCAAAAGATAGTTTGATAAATTTGTAAGTGACTTTTTTGGGTCTTCCCAAATGAGATCAGTGACGTTTTTGTAAGGATTGACATTTTTAGGAAGTTGCTCAAAACACAACTTTTTGCTGCGTTGCCAAAAAGGCGCTATATGTATATGTTTTTTTTCATAACCCCAACATTAATCCTACGGCCCGCCCTCTAAGGCCATGTTTGTTTGGGCGGCCATGTTTGTTTGGGCGGACTGGATTAGTATTTTCATGACTAATAGTTCTAGAACTACCAATCCGTTAGATTATGTATCCTATCTTAACTAATAGTCAAGTTTAAAATAATTAATCCGTACTTCAATTGTTTAACCAAATATCAAATTAATAATTTTATTAGATTATTAGTCCAACCTTAAACTCATATCCACCCAAACAAACATGACGAGTTATACCCAAGTCCCAAATAGAATTACCCTCACAGGTTTTTAGGCACATCCGGCAAACCACATGCCGGTGAAATTTGCCCTCTTTTAACAGATTTGAGAGAAGTGGAGAGAGAGAGAGAGAGAGCCATGCGATTCACAGAGTCACCAGTAATCGAGCTGCCCGTACGCGACGCCCTGCTCTCCATCCAACAAGACAACGGTTCCTTCCACGTTGGTACTACTGTCTGGCCCTGCTCTCTCGTCCTCGTCAAGTTCGCCGAGCGCTGGCTCACCCCTCTAACCACCACATCCAACCCCAACCCAAACCCCTACGCCGCCCTCCTCGACTTCCACAACAAGCGCGCCGTCGAGGTCGGAGCCGGCTGTGGGGCCGCCGGCATGGGGCTCCACCTCCTCGGCCTCCACAACATCGTCCTCACCGACATAGCCCCCGTCATGCCCGCCCTCAAACGCAACCTCAAGTCCAACAAACCCGTCCTCGGTAAAACCCTAAAGACCACCCAGCTCTACTGGACCAACTCGGACCAAATCAAAGCCCTATCCCCTCCCTTTGACCTCGTCATCGCCACCGACGTCGTCTACATCGAGGACACTGTTGCTCCACTGGTCTCCGCCATGGAGGCCTTGATTGGGGACACCGGGACTGTCCTCCTCGGATACCAATTGCGGTCTCCGGAGGCTCACCAATTGTTCTGGGAGATCTGTGGCCGGGTTTTCGACATCCAGAAGGTTCCACACGAGCATTTGCACCCTGAATATGCCTACGAAGAGGCCGATGTTTACATTTTGCGAAAGAAATTGTAGCTGTAGCACACATATCTGGACATTTCTGGTAAGTTTTGGAATTCGGACTTTAAAGAATTGAAAACAACAGCATTCATAAAATAATAATAATGATTGGAGCTGTTGAGAAAAGAAATGTTTTTTATGAGACAAACTGTTCTATTCATGGGGAAATTCTTGTTAGAACTAAATTTTAGTGGAGAAAACTATATTTGAATTTTGTGATTGTTGACTGCTTTTGTAGTATTTTGTGGGTTTGTTAGTAAATATTGCATTATTGGCTTACATACAACCATACACAATAATTTTTCCCCTAATTGACAAAGTGAGACTTTTTTGTAATATCAAACCCGTGACAGAGATTGAGTCTCACTCTTTCTTCGGTTGTAGCAGACTATGTAAATACAAGATTTCTTTGGAACACTGACTACAGCCAAATACAAATTTCCTCCCTTTTTGAGTCCACTGTTTTTGGCCATTACTCTATTTTGTGAGTCTTTCACTGACACAGAGATCGAAGAGAGACTAACATAAAAATCACCTTGCCCAATGATATCTAATTTATCCCCTGGAACTGTCAACAGTAGGATTTCATCTTGAGAAGAGCATTATAATGTTATGATGGCCTTAATTATCTAAAGCATAATATTAGTTCTTTGATTCTTTATTATATCCTGCGATACCAAAGCTTTGTCATTCATGTGGAAGTTACAGAGAAGAATAAAACAAATAATAGAAAGTTGGCGAAGCAAAATATGGCTAATGTTATAATTTGGTTTAGAATAGATAGGCAAAATATAATGACATTTAAGGATATCGCAAGTACACACTTTATAGGTTCTGCAATATATAGTGTGGATGTTGATTTACGACCACACAACCAAACGGAAAACTCAGTTGGAGAGTACCGACAAAATAGATTAAGCCCGAACACCTGCCAACAAGAATATGAAAATATCGTGGTGGTTCGTCCACCCGGGACACTCCGACGATCAAGTCAGTAATCTTATCTCTCACAGATATCAATACAAGTACTTAAACTTCAACAATGAAAGCATAAAAGTATCTCAAATAAAGCATACCTTAGACTCACGAGGGTGCCTTACTTTTATAATGATCAATGTCCAAATTTCTCTAGAAGTCTTACTTCATGGGACTCTATCCTTTACAAGAATAACATTTATCACAACTCACACTATTCAGATTAAGATGAACTTCCTCAAGAGTCCCATCTCTATCCAAATAAGTAGTTTGATGTCATCTAGGACTCTAGTCCTCTCTTCAAATATCTTGAATTCCGGTATTATCGCACCATATCTGGGCACCATGGTCCGCCCACGTGGCACCTCGGCTAACAACCTCGGCCACGTGGATTACCTAAAAATATGTCCCCACAACTGCCCTCTAAGTTCTATTACCTCGGCAAATTGAGGTGATGGAACCTATACATGTACTTCCCCGACCGAGATCGTGACTCGTTGGCACCAAGAAACAAGAACTCAAATGTCCACTTGTTAAGAATCAAGAATCAAAAATCATGAACCATCATGTTTCATGTCATCTAGGTCCAACATCTCGATAGAGATCACACTGCTAGCAGAGATCATGACTTGCTAGTTCAAGAACATCAAGATCTTAGTATCAACTCATCAGAAACAAAGAATAAACAAGTTCTGTCCCCATTCAAATTTAACATCTCAACCAAGATCAACATCTCAACTGAAATCATCATGTTAACCAAGATCACCATCTCAACCGAGATCGTCATCTCTACCGAGGTCAATATCTCAATTGAGGTCATCATGTCAACCCAGATCACCATCTCAATAGAGATCATCATGAGATTGAAGCGTACCAATCACGTCCCTATCATGTTGCATCAGTTTTGCCCCCCGCCGTCTGACGTCAGCACGGGCACATCAGGACTCGAAATTATAACTTTTTGCCATATTTTTCTAATTCCAGCAAAACCATATCATCTTCCTATTTTGTCTCTATCTGCGTCCCTAGACTCTCTTTCTCTTGGTGTCTGCAAACCATCATCGTTGTTCTTGAAGCATTCATTTCTATGAAGACTCCCTTTGTGCCCAAGGTTCAAAACTCTGCCAGCTGAACCAGCCTAACAGCCACGCAGTTCATCAGCTGACATCAACCCACCATCTCAATGGCAATGAAAACACCGACATAGCGACAATCTTGCAGCTAGAACCAGGAATAGGAAACACTGAGGTCCTAAGCTCCCAGCCTTAGACCTTGATAATTTTTCAATCGGCTTATCTGTGAGTAACCATCGCCGTAACCAATGACGACATGTCTCGCCGAACTCTTGTCGTAGAAGACCTTCTTGTTGACATCCCTGATCTCATAACTGTGCAATCCACTCCATTTCCTTATAGTCAATCCAACATGCTCATGCCTCCAGCAACTTAATATCTCGAAAGAGAAGCACATAAAGCAAGTGGACCAAGTTACTGCTGCCAAAGGTGGGGCCATTGCTAAGGCTGAAAAAACAAGTCAGCATGGCCTGCAACAAAGGCTACTATCTTGACTGGATGACAGCCCTCAAAAAGATGTCTGTCCCCGAGGACTCACTCCTCCGTGATATGGGTCAGCTCAATGTCCCTTTCTCTCTCTCTCCCAATCAATATGAGGATGAGGTCGAAGCACTAGAAGAGGCCGACGACGAGGAGACCGGAGACAAGGAAGAGGCCAAGGCTGAGGTTGCCGTGAAAGAATCTGAAGCTGTTGCGGGGGCAAGTCCCCAACTCTAAATGAGCAAGTCCTTGACTTGATTCAGGATGAGGAGGATGAGATTCAAAAGACCACTTTTGAGGCTGAGGTCGAGACTGCCAACAAGAGCCTAGATGACCCACTACGTGAGATCAACGCCGAGGTCCAAGTTGAAAAATATGCCCAGTTGTCTGCCGAGGCTAACACAATGCCAATTGCCAATGCAGGGCAGACTGTGGAAAATGCATGAACTTTGGTTTTTCCTCCTTTTTGTACTTTTCCTTCATACTTTTGGACAGCTGTAATTTTTTGTTTGAAAAATATTAGCTTTATATGTGGCCAATGTGCCCCTTTTATCTTTGTAGATGAACAAGTAATCTCTCATGCTACGCCAAAATGCCTTTTTGTATCTAAACAAGTTTCTTTTCTAAATACAAGTTTTATATTTTCTTCCAAGTGTTGAATGTATGCCTTTTTTTCTTTTATGCATGTTTGCTGCTTTCTTTCATGCTTTTCATGCTTCCAAACTTAGAATATTTTTGCATTTCTTCAAAGTGTACCTTAACTGTATAATAACTCCGGGATACAGTACCTCAGATAAACCTTAACTGTTTACATCAGCTAACCATTTTCATACCTCGGCTAACACTTCAAAAATAAAAATATTTTTACAATTGTTATTGCTTTTTTACCTCCATACGCTATCTTCTATTAAGACTTCACCCTTTCCAAGTTTTGACAACCTGCTTGGTCACCTCGCGTAACATATACCTCGAATACTTTATTTATCATTGCATCGGCTAACTCTAACTTGTAAATTTCTCCGAAATTTCAACAAGTGTTAAGCCCATTTCTGAAAATTTAAACAAGTGTCAAACTCTTAAGTTTGTTCATCACTCCAGCTCCCTACCCCCCTAATGTGAATTATGGTCTTTTGTCGAAGTTAGATTCAAACAAAGGCTTCCCGAGGTGTTTCAACCTTGGTTTCTCTATTAATGAACTTAGTTTCATTCTGAGTTTGACTCTGCCGATATGGCAAGTCTAGTTTAATTCAACTTAGTTCAACTCCATTATATGCAAGTATAATTCAATTCTGTCATATAATGAGTCTAAGTTATTCGTTATATTTCATTCAGAAACATTGCCAACTTAGTTCAATTTTATTATATGCAAGTATAATTCGACTCTGCCATATAATCAGTCTAAGGTATTCGTCATGTTTCATTCAGAAACATCGCTAACTTAGTTCAGCTCTATTATATACAAGTATAATTCAACTCTGCCATATAATAAGTCTAAGTTATTCGTCATGTTTTATTCAGAAACATCGCCAACTTAGTTCAACTCTATCATATGCAAGTATAATTCAACTCTGCTATATAATAAGTCTAAATTATTCGTCATGTTTCATTCAGAAATATTGCCAACTTAGTTTAACTCTATTATATGCAAGTATAATTCAACTCTGTCATATAATAAGTCTAAGTTATTCGTCATGTTTCATTCAGAAATATCGCTAACTTAGTTCAACTCTATCATATGCAAGTATAATTCGACTCTGCCATATAATAAGTCTAAGTTATTCGTCATATTTTATTCAGAAACATCGCCAACTTAATTCAACTCTATTATATTCAAGTATAAGTCAATTCTGTCATATAATAAGTCTAAGTTATTCGTCATGTTTCATTCAGAAACATTGCCAACTTAGTTCAATTCTATCATATGCAAGTATAATTCAACTTTATCATATGATAAGTTTAAGTTACTCGTCATGTTCACCATGGGAACATCGCCATAAGACATTTCAGTCTTATCGCACAATCATGGATTCCAACAATATTTTTACGTTTTTTTATATAGGCTTCGGCATCCTTTTACATGTAGGGTCACCAGAATTCCTATGATATAGCTCTGTGGGCAAGGGATCTGCCCCTTATATGGATCTCGTGTAAAAAGTCTTCAACCTGAGAAGGATGTATACATCGCAATTGAGGTCCAGTAAAAGTCGTTTTGTATAGATGGCCTTCTGTCGATAGGCAGAACTTGGCCGACTTCAGTCTGATCCTGTGTGTTTCTTTTTTGTCTTCTGGAATCTGGGATCTGCTCATTTAGGCTGAGCTCTTGTCTTCTCGGACTTACTCATCTAGGCGGAGATCTTGTCTTCTGGGATCTGGGATCCGAGATCTGGAATTCGGAATCTGCTCACTTAGGCTGAGCTCTTGTCTTCTCGGACCTAATCATTTAGGCCGAGATCTTGTCTTCTAGGATTTGGGATCCAGGATCTGGAATTCGGGATCTGCTCACTTAGGCTGAGCTCTTGTCTTCTTGGACCTACTTATCTAGGCGGAGATCTTATCTTTTAGGATCTGGGATCTGAGATCTGGAATCTGGGATTTGCTCACTTAGGCTAAGCTCTTGTCTTCTTGGACCAGCTCATCTAGGCCGAGATCTTGTCTTCTGGGATCTGGGATCCGGGATCTGGAATTCGAGATCTGCTCACTTAGGCCGATCCTTTTATACTTGAAAGTCATCTCCTTGGAAGCGCTTATGCCCCTATCTTTGCATCCCTTCTGGAAGGGTCTTCATTCCGTTAATGTCGACACATTCTCCATCTTCGCTAAACTAGTTGTTGCCGACATGTTGATCTTGCACGATGATGGCCATCTATTCTAACTAAGTTTCCACAGATGGCATCAAATTGTGGGTGTTGATTTTCGACCACACAACCAAACGGGGAATTCAGCTAGAGAGCACTGACATAATAGATTAAGCCCAAACACTTGCCAACAAGAATATGAGAATACTGCGGTGGTTCGTCCACCCGGAGGCACTCCGACGATCAAGTCAGTAATCTTATCTCTCACAGATATCAATACAAGTACTTAAACTTCAACAATGAAAGTATAAAAGCATTTCAAATAAAGCATACCTTAGACCCACAAGAATGCCTTACTTTTATAATAATCAGTGTCCAAATTCCCCTAGAAGTCTTATTTCATGGGACTCTATCTTTTACAAGGATAACATTTATCACAATTCACACTATTCAGATTAAGATAAACTCCCTCAAGAGTCTCCTCTCTATCCAAATAAGTAGCTTGATGTCATCTAGGACTCTAGTCCTCTAGCCAAATATCTTGAATTTCGGTATTATCGCACCATATCTCAGCACCATGGTCCGCCCACGTGGCATCTCGACTAACAACCTCGGCTACGTAAAAATATGTCCCCATAGTCTATCCATGATCACATGTGTACTTGAAAATTGAGCCAAAATTTTAGTTTATTGGGTGAAGTTTTCCAATAAATGTCAAGATAAAAAAGCCAAGGAACTTGCATCACAAAATTTGGGGTCAAATTTAGTTGTGTCTAATAGCATCACTTATGCCCAACTCCCCTAAGTTGTTAATCTAACATCTAACAATTGACTTTTGCTGATCAAAAAATAAATATAGCACCACTTATGCCTGACTTGATATAATTTTCCTTTATTTTTCTTTAATATATATATATATATTTTTCTTGGGTCACTATTAGTATACTTAATTTCTAAGTTATCATCACAAATATTACTATTGAAATCTAAAATCTGCAAAAAATATATATATATATATAATATCATTTTTCATCTGTTACCACATGATATTTTGAAGAAATAAAATTGTTCTCTTACAGTTTGGTTTGGTTCTTATTTGTGCAAAGTTCTCAAGGATGCATGTGAGCTTGTCTTCTTGATCTTCTTCTTTGCCTCTTGTTAGGAAAACTAAGAACTTCAGTACTTAAAACTCTATCAAATAGTTTTTTATCCTAGTTACTTGGGGTTGGTTGCATAAATTCATTTCCTTCAATTGGTTCCATTAGAATGTATATCCTCAGTTAAGTCTAAGGTAATTATTTCTTTACTTACCACATTAACCATATTTTTCGTAGCCCCTATTTCTTTTACCATGCTTAGTATGGATATTTCTTTTACTATGCTCAATATGGAACCAATGACTCTTCCAAGTGCGTAACCTGGTGTATATTCTACACGGTGAACGCATTAACCCATATTCTCCTTAGTCTCTATTTCTTTTACCGCCCTCAATGTAGATCCAATGACTCCTCCTTCAAGTGTGTTACCTGGTGTATATTCTACAAGGCCAAACTCATTAGCCCATATTCTCCGTAGTATTTCTTTTACCTCCCTCAGTGTGGATCCAATGACTCCTTGTAGGTACATTATCTAGTTTATATTCTACATGGCCAACATGTCAACCCATACTTTCCTTGGCCCCTGTATCTTTTGCCACCTTCATTGTGGATCCTATCACTCCTCCTCCCAAGTGTTTCTTGGTCTATATTTGACCCTTGTCTTAGCTGTGTCCATGTTGCATTTGTATTCAACATGGCTAGTACTACACCATTTTGAAGTTAGTGCTTCATAGGCGGACAACTTAGCCAGTTGGTGACAGATGGTGCATCTTGCTTGTGGCTGCGTTATTTGGTGTATAATGAAGTGCTTGATGTAGTAAAAGAAAAAGGAAAAATCTGCACACTATTCCTCAATGCCAGTTTTCTTCTCTCTCTCTGTTTTTTTTTGTTAATAAATTATTGCAAACAACCTTATGCATAGATTGATGAATATTTTATTTTGAACATAAACTAAAATTGTAGCCTCAACAAAACTCATAGCAGTGAACTGTTAAGGAATCTAGCATGTTGGAATCTGCCCGCGTATCAGTCCACAGGAGAAATATTAGCAAATACAAAATAATAGTATCATATGATATGACCTCAACAGAAATCATAGCAATGAATTGTTAAGATATGATATTGCTTTAGGTTTTTAGAGACATATTAAGTTTAACAAGCCCATATCAGAAATCAGTTAAACACTCATGAGGTTTCTTCACCTGCATCTCCCCAAAATGAAAATAAAAATGAAATTGATAAAATACTTGCATTCATGATGTTGGAATGGCTGTTCACTAATGTCATTGACTTGTACGTTTTCTTAGTTCTATCATATTTTGGGGCATGTTACTTTGTTTTTAGGGTAAAGCTTATGACTGTTGATGTCCTTGTACGGAGTCATGTTTTCAATACTGGCAACTGTTGGCACACACGATGTGTGTGTCAACCCCTAAATAGTAGTAAATCTACTCCCACCATTCATGCCACAAACAGTTAAATCAGAGAAGTGGAGGCATTACCAAAAAGTGAGTAGTTATTTGATCAAACAGGGGTAGTGTAGGTATATAAAAAAATATTACATACCTTCGTCCACACAAACAGAAGTGTTGACATTATATATTAGTATAGATATAGATGCCATGAAGATGTTTTAGTGAAGTATGAAGAACTGTTTATGCAATTTAACCTCTATTTTTATCCATTAATTGTAGTATTTCTTACATAATGACTTTGTGCACCAGGGAAGGGATAAAGGAATGTACTCGCTGCGTATGAGGATATTTTGTGGAATGAGGCATTTGATTACACACATTTCCACTACGTTCCACCACAGCTATTTTCAGACATGTGACCATCCCCCCTACAGACAAAAGTTTGGGACCCTTATTTTTTGTTTTTTTTTTTCAAGCGCAGGTTCTTGCAGAAACTTCTGTTCGTTCCGTGTTCTCTGTTCTCATCCAGGAAAAAGTATCTTGTCCAAGGTTGATCTAATATTTGCGTTAATGCATCTCCTCAGTTGTTCTATGAAATAGTTAGTGGTGACAGTAACTTTTGTTTTGAGGATATTTTGTGGAATGAGGCATATGATTACACACATTTCCACTACGTTCCACCACAGCTATTTTCAGACATGTGACCATCCCCCCTACAGACAAAAGTTTGAGACCCTTTTTTTTCGTTTTTTTTTTTAAGCACAGGTTCTTGCAGAAACTTCTGTTCGTTCCGTGTTCTCTGTTCTCATCCAGGAAAAAGTATCTGTCCTCAGTTGTTCTATGAAATAGTTAGTGGTGACAGTAACTTTTGTTTACTGTTGTAAACTTACTAGTTTTGTTCTTTTTTCCCCTTAAACTCAAAATATAATAATTAATACATATCTATGAGTATCAAAATTTATCTAGTGGATCAAGAATTCCAGCGCTGCTGGGTGCCCATTCAATTGCATGCGACTCACTTTATCCATCCCCACCCAGATAAAGGTGGGATTTAAAGGCAAACTAACTAGTATTAACAACTCAAACCAGCTAAACTACCTTTGTGCCTTAATCATTCCACAGATGCTATTGTAGATATCAATCAATTGCTCATCTTGCACTTGAATTGATTCCATTTGCAATTCCATGTTTAGATAAATGTTACCAGCACCACTGATAACCCAAGAGAGAAAAGAAGTAACAATATAAGTAAGTCTTAAGATCATTCAACATTCATCCATTCAGTCCTGAGCTACCAGAGGAGATTTACATGTTGATTAGCAAAAGGAAAACTAAAGCTCTTCTTCAAAATAGTCTGAACTGAATTAGCGAACAAAATTTATTCATACAAAATTTATTCATACAAGGAGAATGTAAATCAAACCGTTAATCAAGTCTTGAGATAAGAACAAAAGGTAAGAACAAAAGGGATTCAAATCATTTCACTTCCAAGTCACACAACGTTCTTCAAGTCTCAACTAATTGTTTATTTAATGAATTATATACTTGAGTATTGTGGCTCATCTTTAGGCAGTGTCAGGAAATATAATGATGATTCCATATATAAATTTAAAAAATGATGATGAAAATAATATATTGCAAATAAAATCATCATTCATCATTATAAGTGAACGGTCATTCTATAGAGAGATTAATGAATGAACATTCTATATATATATATATGTATATTCCAGTAAACCAAACACTGTCTAGTCTTTACAATGATTTCGACTAGCCTTTTAAAAAAAACTATGTTAAAAGAAAGTGACCTACATCTAGTTCTCAAATAGGAAGCTTACAATCTTTTTAGCTCTTTCAAGGGCTACATCCTAGAGGAAAGACATTATTGATGTCATGACCTAAACTCACCCATAGAGGTTTAGACCATAATCGGCCAGTATTCACTTAATTACCTTCGGCAGCATGCAAACATGTAGAATAATTATAATAATGGGGCCATAAGCGGAAGTATATCACAAATGAAGAAGTCCATTGAGCTATGCCAATATGAGCAAAGTTATACAATTTACATCATAACACATTCACACATTTATATGTCCATGCAAAAACTTATGTACCATAGGAAATTTCATACATATAGTTTATATATCCCAAGACCATTATAGCAAAGTCGAAACAAAAGTCATAGCATGATGTGAGTCAAAGGCAAAAGCTCCATCTTGGAGGCTTGACTCAACAGGTTTGCAAAATAACTCCTGAAACAGACTCTAAGGTTGGGCTTCATGCTGCTGACCACCTACATGTGCATACATAATACAGAGTAAGCAAAGCTCAATGAGTAATAATACAGTAAATGGGTTTAAATGAATGAGCATAAGTTTCCTACAATCCACAATCATATTACGGAACGATCTCGGGCCCAACATAATGCGAAACAGCCTCAGACCCATCATATAAGAAGAATGACCTTAGGCCTATCATTGTTGGAATGGCATCAGGCCCACATATGGTATAGAATGACCTCAGACTCACATATTAACAGCTGTTCAGAACAACCTCGAGTTTAATCACATATTATTATATAATTAACAGAACGGCTTCGGGCCCACACATGGTATAGAACGACCTTAGGCCCACAAAACGGTCTCGGACCCAAACATATCATAGCATAAACAGAACGACCTTAAGTCTACTTGCACATGTCATATAACATTTACAAACTTCATTCATTTCGATCAAAACACAATGTCAGCACAAATCACCATTCATGGCTCAAAAGTAATCAATTAAGAATCATATATTTACAATACTATTACTAATAGTGCGTTTGATCTTGCGGCGTTTCCTTCGGCACACGACCTATGCAAAACATGTCACACATACATTCGATAAATAATTCGTTCATTTCACACACTTTTCTTTTAGTGATTCACAATCTTTTTTAATGGTTTCAAATCATCCTTTCGTTCTCTAGAGGTTTTAAATAAGGTCAATGTGACAATCCTCACCTCTGGTTAGTGTTAATTTATGATTAAACATGATAAGTAATTGATTAAGATGAAATCCTAGATTGATTGCATGAGTATGTTGTTCAATTGCATTTCTATCTGTTCGTTACAGAATGATCTGTTCGTGAATTTAATTTCGAATTGCAAATTGAAAGCCTTATCGGCGACCAATTCAGAAATTGTTTAGTGTTATATGTTAATTAGGAATTATATGATTTTATGGTAGGTTTAATTAAAATTCAATTTGGAATGATTAAATTAGAATAAATAAAGTTAAATTACATTAGTTTGAATTTATTACACAATTGCCATTGAGTGGATTAATTCTAGGCCATTTATTTAGTTTTGATTCATATATGTTTCGCACTATCATTTTACCATTTCCTCAAGACCAAACTGTGAGAGAGAGGGAGCATAGGGGAAAATTGAATTCATCTAGAAATTTTGCTTGAAATTAGGGAAATTGAAGAAGGCTTGAGAGAATAGGCTTCTACACTTGGAATTCAAGACTTAAGGTGGGAAATTCATTCTCTTGATTATGAATTTAAGTTGTTACATGCATTGTTCATGAAAGTTTCATTGAAATTATGTTCAATTGGTGATTAGAGTCAAGAATTAGCTCAAAGTGTTGATTTGAGAGTGAATTCATGCATGCATGTCCATATTATAGAGTTTTGAAGTTGTTTTGCATGAAATTCTTCCATGCATATCTAGATTATAGTTGTAATCTAAGAATTCATCATGTTTTTGAGAAGAATGGCTCATTTGATCATGTGTTAGAAGCTTTGAATTCAAATAAACACATGCAAGGCATATTTACATCATGTTCTTGAATGTTGGGTTGGATTTGTGTTTAATTGGCATACTTTTGGGCTTTGATTTTATAAATTGATCTTCAAAACATGTTGGATTATGAGTTTCTAAGTGTTTTCCAAAAAATTAGCCCAAAAGACTGAGTTTTGGCATGTTTGGTTCTTGGTTTGAGCTTTGGAAGCAAATCTGGAAAACCCAGATTTTGGCTTCCACGCTCGAGCGAAGGATTCCACGCTCGAGCGACCACCTTTGTTTTCAGACTCTCGCTCGAGCGACGGAATGCTGGCTCGAGCGTAAATTGCAAGCTCTCAGGGTTTTGCGTATGCAGACGCACGCTTGAGCGACGAGACCTACACTCGAGCGAGGAACTGTGTCTCACGCTCGAGCGAGCATCGAGCGAGCATCGGGCGGAGAATTTCAGCAACCAGTACTTTTTACTTTTTTACAGATCGCTCTGTAGACCGCCCGGAGAACTCCGTTCCGCGTGTCAGGGCGCGAATCGTGGTTCTTAGCTACTACAGTTCGGACTCATGTCACGGTTCTGAATCTAATCTTACAAAGTGCAATGTACGACTGATAAATCACCAAAGAGTCCAAATCTAGCAAATCATTTTGGAAAATCGATTTTAATCAAGAAGTGCCAAACATGGACTGTTTTTCCAGATTACAGAGTCGCCACCTAAATATTTTATTTTTAGAAAATTTAGGAAACCCTGACTCGTGCCTAAGGCCACGTATCCGTCATCACCAAAGTTGCCTCGGCTCGGGAACTTGGGTGCGAGAGGGGAAAGTCCTGAAATAAGCACCCCCGCTTGCTCGATCAAAGGATCGGCCTCTACTAATATGATATGTTGTTTTTGAAAACACATGTGTTCTTATTCCGGTTTATTAGACTAGCTTACTATGTGATGCGCACAGCATACAAGTATAGACTAAATCACTCAAGTTGGAACAAAACATCTCGTGTTTGTTTGTTTGAAAATGGTTTGAAAATGCTACTCGCAAGTAAGCTAAGTCGTGGATTTGCCACCCTCAAGTGGGCTTAGAAAACATGGTTTTGCCACTTTGAAGTGGGCTTAAAACTCGCATTTTGATGAATTGTTCCAATTCAAGCAATCCAACCTTCATCCACAGGCATTCATGCAGTTAATCACTTAAGCAGTTAGCCTCATGGCAAGAATGCTAATCATGGCAACACTTACACGCATGCAAGGATGCTAAAGCATAAACACTCACAGTGTACTCCGAGCCAAAACAAAAACTAGTTAGAAATCATGCATGATCCTAGCTATGTCAACAATGCCTAATGCAATACATACAAAATGCAACGAATATAGGCTCGGTTATTCTAAGATGTCATGTGAATGCGATTAGATAACATGTATTCAATTTGGAATTGAAATACAATGCAGTTTGTATGATGCGCCGAGCCTGGTGCATGCAAGACAGATGAATGGATACACGCATGCTAGCATAAGGATGCTAATTGAAATATGCCCTAAAACTAACCATCAAAAGCTGGTAAATAAAAGTGAGAAAGAAATGGGGGTTGGAAGACATGCATCACACACACGCACGCTTATTACAACATTTGTGCCCTCTCGATGGAGGGTCCGAATAATGAGCTAACTAGCTAATCTAAGCTAATTAAACTAGTTATTACATCACAAAACTAATTAACTAACAAGCTAACTAATTAAGTACAAAACAAAGCTAATTAACTAACAAGTTAACTAAT